CACTAGACAAAAAACTAGCTACGAAACAATGTTTTAAAATTTTTTTAAAATATACTGTAAAACATTTGCAAAATTGCATACAAACGTTTAAAAAGTTATTTACTTCTCAAGAAAACGTTCACGTTTTTAGTCGTGTTTCTACAAGATTAAAGTGATTATATGTAAACAGAAAAATATTTCAGTTTCATAGCCTAATTGTTCATTTTTAGCAAAAAGTACAAAACCAAACATGAAAAAAAAACACGTCCACCTGTTAGTAGGCTGTTACAGCTCATAGATTGGGTAAACGGCAGGATTCAATTAGCTTCAACCTTGTTTTCATCGATTTAATCCTTCACAATAATCCTTGGCTGTCCATAGCACTCAAATAAATCGAAAAGTTGACAAAAACAAAACAGTAAAAACAACATTGCAGCTCGATTTTGCTGAATGAAAACTCGTTCTGCGCCCGCGTACAATCTTTTACTAGTCAGCGACGCTTTTCAATAAGGGAATTTCTCGAGTTACATGAGGCTATTTTCTAACTTTATTTGCATTTTACTCATTAGTTTCATCGGTGACCTATCTTCAAATTTTGACCACGAATTTATTTTGCGGTAAATTTTATAAATTTCAAATTTAAAAAAAATCTGTAGTGTGGAAATTTCGCAATAAATTTTTCGCTTTTAAAAAAATTACACACTACAGAATTTTTTTAAACTTTCACCACAGTTGCAGAGCATCATTCCTTATTGATATATGAAATAAAAAAGATAGGTCACCGACATCGTTTTTGAGATAGCGGCACATGTATGGGTTAAATTGGAAGGCTTTATGCTGTCGTCATGTTGCCATGGGAACATTGACATCGTCGAAATCTAGTTCGAAATATTCCTTAGGTGACCAATATTACCACCAAGTCGAAAAGAATTCGCGTTCTGCACGAATAAGCCTGTTTTACGGAATTATTGCTTAAACAAGAATAACTGTAGGGAGCCACCTTAATGTAGTTTGCTCGCCGCACACGAGAATTTTTTTGTCACGAATGGCGAAAAATATCAAACATGTTTGATATTTAGGTAGGTAGGTAAAACTTTATTTCACTACACTAACCCCTACAGGGGGGCGCAGCTTTAAATAGATAGATTGATTGATTAATTAATTAATTAATTAATTAAATTAATTAATTAATTATTAATTAATTATTATTAATTAATAATTAATTAATTAATTGATAATAATAGGTGTGGAAGTATAAGTGCATTATAAGCACATATTAATGTATTATGATCCACACAAGATTTTAGCTTTCTGATCGCCCCAATTCCGGATGAAATCTTCTTAGCAATTTTATCAGTATGCTTATCCCACAATAGAAACTCGTCAACTATACATGAACTTTGTCACGAATGACGAAAATGCCGTAAATGTTGCCCGCACACAAGGGAATTTTGTCGATCCAACTTGTCACGCATAACAAGTACGAGCGACAAGTGCGCCCGTGTGCGGCGGGCTTTAGGATCAAACAGCTTGGATTTGCTTAGAGCATGCAAGATTCCAAAACGCGGTAGAAGTTACAAGACGATGGCCGGGTCGCTGGGGTAATACTCCTGCCCCGACAAAACGAACAATATAATTAGCCCAACGCACAATAAATTTTTCCTTGAAGCGACATGCCACGACGCTACTGTCTCCGACGAGCTATAGGCAATGCATTCGTGCTAGAGGTCGCGCGATTCCGAACGAATAAATCTTGTTTGTATTTTGTAAATAATAATACTTCGTTTCACAATAAATATTTTATCAAGTTTCATCAATTTTCTAATAATAATACGTCTTTAAGTTGAGCAACGCTTGGTTAATATTTGATACGCCGTTTTTCGCAAATTTTTGACACATCCAGAAATATGCTACCAAATTTGAACATTAATATCTCAGTCAGTTTTTTTATAAATATACAACTGCAACATATCAAAATCTAAGTTAGCCTTTCCTCTATCTAATAAAATATATTTGAGTGTAAAAGCTTTACTCGCTTCAGAGTTATTAAGAATCAAACCGGGGTACTTTTTTTTGGGACACCCGGTATACTATATACTATTTCAGAGGTGATTGGAAACTTTTGTGAAACAACATTCCAGAGGATATACAGTTTACCAGAACCAAAGCTGCCTGTAAAGTATGCTCGTAAAATTGGAAACAAGCCTGCAGCAGAGGAAAATACATTTAATGCTTGGTACGTGTTTTAAAATTTGTTCTCATCTAAATTACGGAGTATGGCGGGGATTCTAAAAATCTGAATGTGAATAAAAAATTAGAATTATTTGAATCATATGGAATACACAGACAAAGATGCAGGATTTACGTATACTGTACGTGCATGCCAGGAAGCGAACGATTGGCAGGAGAGCGTGAAGAGTAAAGTTGTAAGAATGAATTTGGTGGCATTGTTAGAATGAATTTAATATTGCCACTAATTTGGTACCCTGGGTGCCAGAGCCTCCTGTGATAAAGGACACGACGAGGAGGCTCTTGTCACACGAGCATCCAGCCTCACTTTGGTGAGTTCAATATTTGAACTCTGTATGTGATTGGTCTAAATTTATGTGAGTCTTTTCATTGGTTAACCGATGAGCGTCGCTAACCAATGAAAAGATTCACATAAATTTAAACCAATCACAAACAGAGTTCAAATATTGAACTCACCAAAGTGAGGCTGGATACTCGTGTGACCAGAGCCTCCTCGTCGTATCCTCACTTCTATCCGAAGAGGCTCTGGCACCCAGGGTACTAATTTGGAGACGGAGTCTTGAACGCGTGTTTCAGTTTTTCGTCGTAATCGTTGCCGCCCTGCCATATTTAGTGTTTCAACGGAGACTCCCAACAAGATTCAACCCACCTTTACTGCATGCGATGAGTAATATAACACTACCAGATAAGCAAATTTTGCAGCGTGCGAGTCAAAATATATACATCTGCTCGAACTAAAAGTAAATCATAAGTCGACAATTTTTTTGTATCAGAGGTAATTTTAGAAGCTCTCAGTATGAAAATATTGTCTGGTCGTAACCGTCGTATCAGAAGGAAAATATGAAAACTATGTGTATTTTTGTCAATACATGCAGGCATGAGAGTGTTATGACTGTTATTAACAAATATTCAAACGGCAAAGAGATATGCTTTAGCGCATAACGGATGATCTGAATAGTTCTCTGGCTTTGTAAATGCAAAAATGTTCAAGAAAATAAATAAGAGATTTGGTTTTATCATTTGAATATTTATGGCGCAGAACACTCTATAACAATTAACGTCTGACAATAACATATACGCATGCATATTTTTTCTGCCGTTATGACCGGATATTACTTTTATTCGCTTAATGATACTTATCTGTGCAATATCTTATATTAAATGCTATACAAAAGAATTGTCGAATTTGTCCTTCCTTTTATGATCTGTTGCCTGGTTAGTTCACGCACGTGTGTATGACTCACGCACACTACAAAAGTTGTCCGAAAATATGCAAATTTGCTTACGTGGCAGTATCACATTACTCATTGCAGTATAAAGGTGGATTTTTTTTGCTACATGTCTTTATATTTTGCATAAATCTAGTGGTATTCCTTGCATGGATTTTATATTTACTGTGGACGTTCTCGCGTATTGCAATAGCACGTTTATGTTGGTGCAACGGCTTTGTAATATTTCCCCTAGGTACTGGAAATGTGATATTTCTGGTGCTCCAAATGGTAAACTACATGGAAAAACTATCGCAATGAAAGACAATATCTCCGTTGCTGGCATTCCAATGATGAATGGATCACAACTTCTAGAGGGTTATATTCCACATATTGATGCCAGTGTTGTAACCCGGGTATTAGATGAAGGTGGAAGAATTCTTGGAAAAGCTGTTTGTGAAAGCATGTGTTTCAGTGGAGGAAGTTTCACGGCTGCAAATGGACTTGTGAGGAATCCGTGGGATCCTTCGAGGATGTCTGGAGGATCATCTTCAGGATGTGCTGTTCTGGTAAGTTGCTCAGTTGAAAACTATGTAGGAAATCACGATAGTATGCAGGAGGTATACAGGGTGTATCAAAAAAAGCGCAATCCTCGACTGAAATGTAAATTGCTAAACAAATAATAGACGTAAACGTTAAAGTTTACATTCATTTTAAAGCGTAGCCATTCAGCTTTCTAACAGTGGGTTGTTTCTTAAGTTTGACTCATTGGTTCGCGGGTAATAATACTTTACGTTATTGCGATTGGAGATTAAAAAAATTGAGATGGAATAACAAATCGTTCTCATGAAAATAACTGATTTTTTCATTAAAACAAACGAATGTTGCATTTTATTAAATGGATTGTAACAATAAGTAGAATTACGGCTTTTCTTCCACTATTTTTAACTCAGTTTGAAACTTCAAATGCGATATAATTTTAGCTTGGACCATCCAAGCCGACTGACATCAACTTGCTATAATTTCTGCTTACATTACATCGCAATTCGATGACACTCTGGCGGCTCAGACACCAGAATGTTTTGACGATTTTTAGCGTTCGTTTAGGATTTTCAAACAACCTGGTCTCTTTTAAAATACTTTTAATTTGTTCTTACGTGGTTTTCCAGATGTAGTGACGACAACATTAAAGTTTAAAGAAGAAAATTCTAACATTTAAACCAACTAAACAATAACATAGTAAACTTGCATAATTAAACAGCAACTAAAAATGATAGGTTTTACTAAATCTTTTCCTGTGTAATTATTACTAGTATTGGAGACAAGGATAATAGTTTGTTTGAAAGAGAAAAGAACAGGCTTTGAAGTAAGCCTAAAAGCGTTTAACTAGAAATAGTATTTCGAAAGTTATTAAGCACAAAAGATGAATTGCGTTTATTTTGATACACCCTGTATAGTTAACGAAAGTTTGTATTTTAAAGAAGTGTGATACGAAAATGCTAGGGAATATGTTCTATTAAAATTACAAGATTAATCAGTGAAATATCGTGTTCCCTTTACCAGAATGCCTGGAAAAATCAATGCCTCCGACGCTTTTAGTGAATGGGAGTGATATTTGTGAACGAAATAATTAATATTAAGTAACTTATTAATATTTATTCCATGGCAGATCGTTTGTTTCAATAAAAAGCATACAGCAGTATGAAAGGAAAATCTCAATATTCAGTGTCAAAACCCGGCAAAGATTTGTATATTGTGTATTTTATTTTTAGAGTCCGAATGTTCAACATTAGTTACTAGTGATTATACCGTAGTACGTTATCGTTTTATAGGGCCATCAGTAACTGGCGCGTTGCTGATAGCCGTATAAGCATGGAAATATAGTTGTTTATAAGGTCATATTCCAACTACTGCATGTAGGTAACCAGACGATGTTTAGCTAGGTAAAGCATAAAAAATTCATGTTCGGCGCCTCTGGTCCTGCGACAATAATTTTGTTCAATAATATCGAGTTTTAACAGGTTGCCAATAAAGACGTGGACATGGCTATAGGTGGAGATCAGGGTGGTTCGATACGCATACCTGCAGCAGCGTGTGGTATTGTGGGATTGAAACCAACATTTGGGTTGGTACCTTACACCGGTATTATAGGCATTGAACCAACTGTCGATCATACTGGGCCTATGGCGCAAACTGTTTATGATACAGCATTACTTTTGGAGGTACATGAATTTTCCCGCCGCTATATACAGGACGATTGAAGGGTGTTTAGTATACTTAGGGTTACTGCTTTTCACGAACATTTAGTAGTAACATTGGTAACCATTAGAGGAAGGATGAATAGACATATACTGTATGAATTTGAATATTAAAGGCGACTGTATTACGGTAACTCATTATTTCGTACGTACTACACTTGTTGATTATTCAAAATAGAAGTTGAAACTTATCTTTGCTTCATTATACTGTACTTTACTAATGAACCTCGCTGGACGGTAGCGGATTGTGATGCAATGTTTTCATTGTCGTTTCAGGCAATAGCTGGTTACGATGATGGCTTAGATCACCGTCAACCACGTGATCTCAAGATACCCAGCTATACAAAAGAGGTAAAGTCCAATCTCAACTTTCAAGATATCAAGTTTGTTTTTCCCTCAAGAAGGCAATCATGGGCAAAGTCCTGAAATTTGAACAATCACAGTCGAAAACTGTTGTTTTAACGTCCACGACTATCGTCTTGATAGAAGACACGAACCCTATGAGGGAATAAGTGAATCCTTCGATTGAACCGTAATCATTACATCCTAATCTTTAAATCTGACGAATCAATCTTTTCATACTTAGGTTGGATATTCAAATCCTGAGATATTCAATCTTCGAATCTCGGTCATTGAATCCTAAAACTGAATGCTTGAATTTTAAGATTGAATTCTTGAATGCTATATATTAAAGGTGAACCTTTGAATCATAAGATTGGATCTATTAATCTCAGATTGAATATAGTTGTAAGAAATGGTTAAATAATTGAGGTCACGCTACTGCCTCCCGTCAGTCAATCTTATCAAGTGGTGCAGTCCTAAAATTTTAACAAGGGAGGGTTCTCCAAGGGAGGCCTTGGAATATGAACCGCTTAAACTTTTGATTGTCATGAATCAAGCAGTCCAATTAATATAAATAGTCCAATTGACATTACGTAATCTGAGGCATTGATTGCATCAGATGGTGCTCCCATTTCGGATAGTACAAACAGATGTACTGTAGTTTTTCCTCAACCCTTTTGAGGTACGTTTTGTTATTACATGCTGCCAGTGTCTTGAAAAAAGCTAATATTTTTACAGGGCCCCTGTTGAAGTTATTGGTAAATTTTCGACGCCCCGCCTCCAAATTTTTAATATTTTCAATGCCCCCCCCCCAGAATTCGGAATCGAAGGAGTACAATCCGGATTTCTCTCTTATCATAGATACAATTTGCAGTTCCTCAAGATGTCTGATATACTCAAGCACGTGCTTCTCCTCAACAAAAATACCGACTTGCTGCTTCTTTCACCTCACTATCGCCAGATTAATTGGCACCGTCTTTAAAAAAAAAACATTTTAGATTGGCTCTAGGGGCGAAATTATCGGCAGGTTGTTGTTGTTGTCCGCCATTCAGCGTAGTCGGAGTCTTGAACACGTTCATGTAGCGGCCGGGATTTCCTGGATCAGGGTCACCCAACGTATCTCCTGGCATCTGTTGCACATTTCTTTGCATGCAAAAGCGCCAGTATGCTTCAATTTCTTTAATGTTTATCCCGTTTGTACTAAATATCCCATGAACATAGAACATATCATTCTTACAAATCGTATGCTTTTATTTGTTTTTGGAACTGCTACTTTTTGGTGGGAAAATTACTTCACAAAGCTGGCGCCAAAAAATTAAAAATAAGCTATAGGTGATTTCATGTATCCATTTAGAAGAGCAGACTAAGGATATCTTAAAACTGAAATCGGTTTCGAAATACAACCATAAGGGTGTAGCGAAGCATCTGAAGTTTGGGGCGGGGGATATCGGAGGATTATACGTGAAATTTGAATTTCAATGTTAAAAATTTATAATAAAGCTTTTTGTGATTGATTGGTACTCATTGGCACTCTCATACTAAGTTTCGGGAGAATAGGGGGTCCTCCCCCAGCTCAATCCTATTGAAGTTATATCCTCTAGGACTGAATTTCTGGCGTTTTCTAAAGCAAATTCGCAAACAAATTGCATGTAAATTGACTGTATTTTACAAAAATGGTTATAATTTCACAAAAATAATTACTTTATTACGCAAATTTTACCTGAAAATGTCAATTTTACCTGAATTTCACAGTAGGGGGAGTTTTACACCCCTACCACACACCCCGGTCGCTATGTCTCTGGCAACCATTACTTGCGAAGATATAAAGACTTAATTAAATTTCTAAAAATCCGCCATTTTGTTCTATTTTTAGTAATGTTCTATTTTTAGTATTTTTAGATTTTTCGACATTTGTATCGCCCATAAAATTGTTGTATTTAGAAACAGATTTCAGTTTTAATTAATAAAATACCCTTAGTCTGCTCTACTAAATGGATTCAGTAAAATCACCAATAGCTTATTTCAAATTTTTTGGCGCCAAGTTTGTGACGTAATTTACCCGCCAAAAAGTAGCAATTCCAAAAGCAAAAAACATAGGATTTGTAAGAACGATATGTTCTATATTCATGGAAGATTTGGTGGAAACAGAGTGAAAAGTTGAAGCATATTGGTGCTTTTGCATGCATTTTTGACAGGCGTGTTGCAGCCTTCTTTTACATATTCCATGTGGAGCTCCCTCATGCCAGTTAATATGAAGTAGGTGGTTTGGAAATCATTTTTGACCAAACCGGATTTACGAATGTTATTGTTCACTAACATATTGTTATTCTAATGAGTTTTCAAACCATCTGTTCAAATTTAACTATGGTGGGAGTGAACACTCCAGGCCCTTGCTGGACCAAAAATTTCGGTGCCCCCTTAACATCTTAACCCCCTCCCCCCCTCGGTATAATAAATGTACTTTTCCTTAGTTCTAAATATGTAACCAGAAAAAGAAGACAGTTTTTCTTACTTACTCGATCGAACCTCGCTATTGTTTACATTGGTGCTGTGACCAGGATGGAGGAACTCCCAAGAATACAAGCATCGAGACGAGCTCACAAAGCACATGTGACAAGATAAAGAGTCATTGTCAACCACCATGCATTTGTTTTCATCTTACCTTCGGAAGTGAAAAATAGCAAGAAATGACGATTATAAACATTTCTTTGGTGCAATTTTAGTCTAAAAAAGTTAAAATGAGCAAGTATAACCATGGGATTGTAGTAAGAGGGTGGAGAAGTGAAATTGCTTAGAAAAGCAATTTCACGGAAAACTAGATTCTGATGAAATAATATAATAATAACAGGTTTATAATTAATTTAAGAGTATGTTTAATGCATGGTACAACCTGCCAGTTAAAAACTATATCATAACTTATAAAGGCCATGTTACACGGTGCAATTTTTCTTGCAACTTGCAATGCAATTCTACTCTTGAGAGATGTTAATTAGTGAAATCAGTGAAGAATTTTCGATATGTTGAAAAAACATCAGCAGTGTAATGAAGACTCGTATTTGGCAATTTTACATCTCTCAAGAGTAGAATTGCATTGCAAGTTGCAAGAAAAATTGCACCGTGTAACATGGCCTTTAGAAGTTTGAGTGACGAGTATGTCCGACGACCTCCGAAAGGCCTCTGAAGTTTTACTCTTGTGCAATCGAGTGAGATCATATAAATTGATTATCGCGTATCATGTCTATTATGACTATTATAAAATAGATCGAAATAAACAAAGCAAAATCGCAGTTCACGAAACAGACATCTTTAATTTTCAATTCACGGAGTATTTTTATCGACATGCAATCACGCCTCACGGCTGTAGAACAATTTCACGCGAACAAATATTGACGAATCACGGCTCACGAAAATACTCTTTCCCACCTTCTAGTAATATATTATGGATTGAAAACCGAAACATCTATTATTCCGCAATTAAAATGGCCGCCAAGCAGGTTTGGGCGCACAATGCATTGTGGTTGACAATGACTCTTTAATAAAAAAAAACAGCGAAATTTTAACGAACGAAAAGCCCGATGAAATGTCGCTGAGCAGTTTAAATACATGCATCTCTCGAACAATTAGTAAGAAAAGGATTTGATACGGGAAATAGACCATGAGAAAATCGAAGCGAAAATTACGAACACAAAGGACTTAGAATTGTTAGAAACGGAGGTATTCGAAGCCGAAGAACTGAGCTCTGACCTGGAAGAAAAGATCAACCACATTCGTAAGTACATTGATTTATCTATTAACGCTATGAACAATCCATCTACTGTATCTACCCAAGAAAATACTGGCTCAAGTTTACAATCTGTTTCACAAAATACAAGCGGTACAGAACAGTCACCTGCAGCCGCCGATGTCCAGTCTCAGACACATGATCCATCAACCCCAGACCATCCACCATTACAAATTAACCCCGACAACCTCTTGAATACTAGCATCTCATCGGAAGATACTCCTACAACTCAACTTCCATTTTCAAATACAGTACCCCTTATGTCTCAAACAATATGTAAACTCCCAAAGCTGAATCTTCCTGTATTTTCTGGGAATCCCCTAGACTGGCAATCCTAATTCTGGGACTCCTTTGAGGCGGCTGTCCACAGAAACCCCTCGTTAAATGGAATTCAAAAGTTCAACTATTTGAAAGCGCAACTCAAGAACGAAGCACTACATTCAATTATGGGCTTTCAACTTACGAACACTAACTACGAGAAAGCAGTCACTCTCCTTAAGAACAGATTCGGACAAACCCATAAAGTTATTAATGCACATATGCAAGCACTCCTAGACATCAGGAGTCGTAACGGACAGTTGGAAGACCTTCAGGAATTTAAAAATACATTAGAAACACACATTCGTGGTTTCGCATCACTTGGAAAGGCACAGGAATCATACGGCGACCTCTTGATACCCGACCATAATCGTTGGCAAGCTCCCAAAAGATCGATGTACGAAAGAACTTAGCACGCGAACATGAAACCCTAGATTGGACCACCATCGAAATGCACTACAGAAAGAACTAAGAGTAAGAGGATTCAAGGCTTACGACGCCATTGGCTCAGGGGGTGCAAATACATTGGGCCAGCATCATTTTCCATACTATTTCATATTAGGAGTGGGAAAAATACGTTTACACAATTTTACAAGTTGTGATCAATTTCTGTTTATTTTCTGATGTACGTACGGGTTTTCGTCCGAATCAAAGGTCTGGAAGTGTTAAAATATGGCGAATTCGTTGGGACGTTTTGCGAGCTGTTTATTAGTGTACTGTTTAGTATTGTTTACATGCCAGCGTGTATACGTATTTGAAAACATTAAGTTGCTTCGAGTTTTAACGCCCGAAATGGATGAGATTTTCGCTGAACATAAATATTTATCATACAGGATAAATATAAAAAAAATGTATTTATCATAAATGGGATAATATTGATCAAATATAAATATTTATCATAAATGGGATGATATTTATCATAAATAGTTCTTTCGTACATAAATATTTATCATAAATATTTACCACATGGCGTGCGAACATGTAATTTGATCTCTCGTGCAAGGTGCCGGTGTCCCAGGATTTTCGCCCCCCCTACATTTTCGCCCCCCGGGGGGCGAATTTCCTAGGAATATCGCCCCCCAGGGGGGCGAAAATCCTAGGAATTTCGCCCCCCTTTAGGAAATTCGCCCCCCTTTAGAAACTTCACCTTTTCTTTAGGATTTTCGTCCTCCGTTCAAAATTTCGCCCTTCCTAACAGTTGCATGGGATAATTATTACACGGCTTTAATAATTTGAAATCAGTATCAATTTAAAATTGTTAAGACAGAGCTTGAAATAACAACCGATCACCGATGAATGATCGGCAAGGAATTGCTTATGATCGTCAGAAAAGCAGGGTTTCGGTTTCCAACCTGAAAAAAGCAGGGAAAGTCGCGACTGCCGATCACCATGATCGGGAACTTTGGGAACGTTATTTCAAGCCCTGCGTGTAAGAATACAAATTTACAATTACATGTATCGAAAGGGCTTTACACAGTTACAGTAGATGAATACTCAATAGGACTTATGACGCTTCACAGCACACCATGCATATTTTGCATTTTCAGTGTTAATCCTTAAACTCATTGTTAAAAAGTAATCACCGTGGTGGTTATTGTAATTATTGGTATTGTTTTGCATCCACGTTTTGTCGTTATCGGAAAATGTATGGTTTGTCACTATTTTGTACTTGCATTATTTCAATATTGTTTGTAAATCTCAGAAGCGAAGGGTAGAACTTGCCAATAGGCAATAATCCAATAATATACGTTTCAAAAAAGACAAGAAAGCTTTTAGTTTTGCAGAGTTAATTCTCAAATGTTTAACGCATGCACTAATAAAATCAAAGTACCATGAAATTATTTGACTGAAACCACACCACATATATAATGCAATTTTCTTTGCGGAAGTGAAGAATCAAGATTACATCACTGACACGGAAAGTTGACGATTCAACGGACAATAATCAATACGCTTCCCAACATATTCCATAGATTTTTTACTAATCCTATAGCTTATTGTTAGCAAGTGATTACTGTGGCGGCTATTGTTAACACTCGTATTGATAAAATTTGCAAGCGATTGTTTTTATAATATGTTATGCGAATGTAAACTGCCAGAAGAATACGACAACATGATTTTATGCGATCTCTGTGATGGTTCCACTTTAGATGTGTAGAATATGACACTAGTCTAAGTACCTCAAATGAGTGGTTATGTGTATGTAATTTTGTCTCCTTGTAATAAATAAATAAATCACACAATAAACCTTTTCAACTTGCAATCGTTTTGTTTTTAGATCAAAAATTTATATGGGGGGGGGGGCGAAATTCCTAAAGGGGGGCGATATTCCTAGGAGATTCGCCCCCCTGGGGGGCGATATTCCTAGGAGATTTGCCCCCCCTTTTGAGAGGGGGGGCGAATCTCCTGGGGGGGCGAATCTCCTGTGACAGGACAGTGGTGTCGCATTGCAGTTGATATCTTCGCTTCGCCGAGATCTACAGATCACCGTTTGTTAAAAAAGTATTTTCGACAGCTCTATTCTCTTTGAGTAAATTAAAAATATTTCTCGTGCGGCAGTGAACGAATGGCGACGAGACAGCCAGAAGAAAGTCTGACTTATGAAGATTATCTGACCAGGACGAACACCACACTGAAAGATTTCGAGTAAGGCCCGATATTGCATATATATATATATATATATATATATATATATATATATATATATATATATATATATATATATATATATATATATATATATATATATATATCCTGCCTCGTACCCAGGCGCTTACATGAAGTATTCAGGTCGACGCGCTGTTGGGAAGGGGCGGGAAAACATGGAATGCAGGGCGGGAAAACATGGAATTTAATACAAAAAGTTACCATATCGTCATATACTCTGTGTGTAAAACCTTATATACTTTGTGATGAAGAGTTGAATTGAACGCCATTGGCAAATAATAATCTGCCGACTCTAGTTTTTCATTCTTTATGTCCTCTCCCGTCAACCGAACTTTACTCATATGCTCTTTCTTTCTAGTTCCAAATAAGCGCCAAGTCTCTCCCACATAAACCGCCTCGTCGCATTTGCAAGGAACTTCATATACAACAGTCTTCCGTTTCTCTCCCAGTGGTTTCTGTGCCTTTGTTTTCATTTGTCTTACTTTATTCCCAGGTCTGAATGCGGTACGGAAACGATGCTTCTTAGCGACTCTCTTGAACTGCTCCGACATTCCTTGTAAATATGGTATAACCACCATTCCTCTACAACATTCCTCATCTTTAGAATCTGTCGACTCATTCGTATCCTCCTCTTTGCTTTTCATATACCGTTTCACTGTCTCTCTGTCATATCCATTAGCCACAAACACATCTTCAATGTTTTTCAGTTCCTCTTCTACATATCCAGGATCGCATAATGCTCGAGCACGATCTGCAAATCCTTTAATTATACCTTTCTTCATTGAGGAGGGATGGTTTGATCTTTCTTTCACATCCCTGTGAAATGATTTAGTAAAACCTAGCTCGCAAAACGTCCCAACGAATTCGCCATATTTTAACACTTCCAGACCTTTGATTCGGACGAAAACCCGTGCAGACATCAGAAAATACGTGCAGACATCAGAAAATACACAGAAATTGATCACAACTTGTAAAATTGAACGATTCTTTAATATTTTTGCAGAAATTCAACAAATTGTGCAAACGTAATTTTCCCACTCCTAATATGAAATAGAATGGAAAATGCGCTGGCGCGCGCTCCCCCCAATGTATTTGCACCCCCTGAGCCAATGGCGTCGGAAATCCTAGAGGCAGGAAAATTTGTCAACCCAACATTAATTGAAAATAAGTTAGAACATTAAATCATCCATTACATCATCCTTTTACACTGGTATCCCTAACGATCCATCGTCATCCCATTACCCAAGTTCCAGAGCAAAAAAGGCCCACTCATTTAAACACTGTCAAATAGTTACAGATTCCAAAAAACGATTAGAAATAATCAAGAAGGAAAATCTTTGCTTCAATTGCCTTGGACAACATAAGGCTTCTAAATGCCGATCGAAGAATCGCTGTACGAATTGCAATCGCAAACATCACACTAGTCTGTGCAATAAAGAAAATCAACTGTCAACATCCAAGGAGCAAACCGCTCACAATGAGGATGCTCAACAAAACCCAGAAATCACACATGCAACGTTGACACCCACAACCCAGATCAGCTACGTGGGTCCCAGTCCCCATCAAACATCATTACTCAAAAGAGCCATCGCGACAATTAGATCAGACAGCACTGCTATCGAAACTAACATTCTCTTTGATGAAGCTGCCCAACATACCTTTATGTCACAGTCTCTTGCATCATATTAGGATTACAGTCTTCAACTAAAGAAACAATCAACCTCGTCGTGTTTGGTGTAGTTACCCCGACCAGAAGAAACCTAGATGTTGTTACGATACACATTGAAACAGAATTATTAGGACAGGAAATATTCCAATACAAGCCCCTTGTTACGAAAATTGCCACTCCACTGCAGAATTCAGTTAGAACTGCCACTCAGAACTACCCCTACAGGGCCCTATGCTTGCACATCTAGTGACCGAGAACTTTGAGACATCATTACTAATTGGTATTGATCATTATTGGGACATTGTCGAGGATCGCATAATTCGGGGCAACGGTCCAACAGCCATGCAATCCAAGCTAGGCTACCTGTTATCCGGACCTGTAGCATCCACAGCCAATACCAGGAACTATCCAACCTGAATGTTATGCTTTCCCATCGTGAAAAAAATGATCGTTTTGAACGGTTCTGGAATTTAGAAACTTTGGGTATCACCGAACCAGATCCACACATTGATGAAAACAGCTTTATCTGTGAGTATCAACAAACATCCATTTCTCGTGAACAAGACGGAAGTTACACAGCAAGATTCCCTTGGAAGAAGGATCGTCCTCCACTACCTACGAACAACATCGTCTGCGAAAAACGCACTAGGACTACAATCAAGAGATTGAACCAAACGCCCGATTTGCTACACACTTATAGCACTATCATCAAAGAAGAAGGACAAAGGGACTTCATCGAGAAAATTCCAACACAGCAAATAACCACAACGTCCATTACGTACCCCACCACCCAGTTAAGAAAGATTCACCAACCACTCCTATTCGGATAGTTTATAACTGCAGCTGCAAAGCATCGCCGAAACTTGCAAGCCTTAATGATTGCCTTCAATTCAACCCGGTCAACTACTTCTCAATGATATGTCAGCAATCCTCCTTCGATTTCGTACACACAGCTATGGTATCGTTACTGATAAAGAGAAAGCATTCCTTCACCTTTACTTACATGAGGAGGATAGAGACTTCACTTGATTCCTATGGTTATCGGATCCGGCAGATCCAAACACTTCGACACCTATCGTTTTAAGGCTGTTCCGTTTGGGACCACAAGCTCTCCATTCATGTTAAATGCAACAGTTCAACATCACTTTGAAAATTTAAACTCACCTGTTTCCCTCTATATGAAAAGGAGCATGTGCGTTAACAACGTGATCTCTGGTACTGACACTGAAACATCTGCAATCAACTACTAAAATGAAGCAAGATTCTTTATGAACGATTCTAAATACAACTTAAGCTCTTGGGCTTCAAATTGTTCTGATTTACAAGATTTAGCGACTCAAGAAAACACAGCCGATACAGGTGATGAAATTAACGTTCTCAGTATGCATTGGAAAACCTGTTCTGATACCATCGCATTACCCAACAAAGCCACCTTGAGCACTCGTCAACAGCTGATCACCAAACGAGAAGTTTTCCAACAATCTTCAACGATATTTGATCCCTTGGGCATAATAACACCGATAACCATTCGTGCGAAAATCTTCATGCAACAACAGCCTTGGCAAGAATCCATTGATTGGGATGAACCACTAAATGAAACCTTGACAGAAAACTGGTGGAAAATAGTCGATGATTTACAAGCAGTGCTTATGACCACCACCATCCCTCGACCATAGCACCTGAATTCAAATTCCCAAACCGTACCTCAATTGCACTGTTTCGTTGATTCTAGTATCAAGGTATACGAAGCTGTCACATACAGACACGAGAATTCATTTGTTATGGCTAAAACTTGCGTCGCCCCGATTAAGAAGTTAACACTACCTCAACTCTAGCTGATGGCAGCATTAATTGGTACTAGATTACTCTCCTTCATACACAACGCAATGGACAGCCGATACGACACACTAGAAGTTTATCTTTGATCTGACAGCCAAATCGTTTTATATTGGATCAACAGCAACAAACAGCTTAAACAGTTCGTCGCCAATAGCGTTAACTCAATTAAAGAGCTCTTTCCTCCAAGCACTTGGCATTATTGTCCTACACATGAAAACCCCGCCAGATATTCTTACTCGTGGTTTGACAAAACGAGCCCGAGAGCAGGCACTTCTCCTTCAACATTTTAGAAATCGCTGGAAAACCGAGTCTTTACGCGAGTTTCATAGGACCACTGGAAATAACAAGCAAACGATCAACATTGGAGATGGATAAATTGGAAACTAGCAGTGATTGAAAACTTCATTGAAGGTGAAGACGTTCACACACGAGCAGCTCGCATACAACGCACAGCAACCGGGAAAACAAACCGACCAAATCCTATGATTGGATAATGAGTGAGGTGCTAATTACAAAACGGCAATCATCCTTAATGGCCGAAAACAAATTTGTCATAGCCATTTGGGCAGGCGTTTCCTCTTTTCCCGCCCGTACTAAACGCCTGCTACGCAGGCTAATTTCATCCTTGATAAAAATACTAAGGGAGGCTCAGCCCCCTCCCCCAAACTGAAAGGAAATACTAAAAAGTGGCTAAGCCCCCCAACCCCCTTCCACTTACTCCTGCTCTCATCATCGTTTCATCTAGTTTTCAGAGTGTGGTGGTGAATGATATTATATTATATTATATTAAAACAATACATCTGTTTTTAATTTGCACTACAGTTATCAGGGGAAATAAAAGGTCTGCGTGTGGGATTACTTGAAGAAGGTTTTGATCCCAGTTTTGAAACAGATGTGAATGACTTGGTGAGGAAATCAGCTGCGAGACTAAGCGAAAAAGGTGCAGTGGTTGAAGAGGTGTCAATACCCTGGCATTTGGATGGTAGATATATTAATTTTTTAATAATTTATAGTATTACAATAAATAATTGCGATAATGTATAAAGCCTTAAATATCGAGGAAATGTTACTACTAATTTTTCTGTGTTTTCTTTTTCAGGAAACAATATACTTTTCGGTATTTTGTTATCTAATTCCACTGCCATGTTTGAAGGTCCGTGTATATAAAAATGTATTATAACTATTTATGTTACATATTCAGGGCCGTACGTAGAATTTTGGAGCTGGGGGGGGGGGGCAGTGGTGTCGTGTGAGTAGAATGGTTGTGTAGGAAAACGAGGGCCGAAGGTGCGAGAAAATTTCGGGGGTTCCAAAAATTTTTCAAATAGTATAAGTCCATAAAATGCCATTTCCTGCATTTTGGGGTAAAATTTCACAAAATTCTGAACGGCACAAAACGTTGTATTTTATGCTCAAAAAAATATTTCAAGACTTCTAAATATTAACTATACTTTCCGATAAATATATCTGAATTCTGAAAATCGAGAGATTTTTCACATTTAAATATGTTTGAAGCGAAACCAGGATTATTCATAATAAGTTTTTAGACGTTCTCTGGTTTTTAAATATTTATGATCATGATTACGAGCTTCGCCTGCCACTCATTGCATGAAGACTGCAGACTGGCAGTCGAAAGGTCGTGATATATATAATAAATATTTAAAAACCAGAGGCAGAGAACGTCTAAAAACTTATTATAGATTTTTCACAGTCATATATGCTGAACTAAAAGATATATCACTTACATGCATGTTTATGGTCGTCCCATACAAAATCGTACACTCTGATTCACAACATTATATCAATACATGCGTCATTTAGCTTTTCGTGCACAAACGTCATATCTGGCGTTGGACTAATCGAAGAATCCTGATGAAGCATAAGCATTTCAATTCTAGTCCACTTCGAGATATTTAAAACGAACTGTCTTATTTCCTTCAGAACTTCGCTTATTTTATTTTGAATTCCTGTAAAAGCAGTGAGTTTGGATTGTAATTTTCCAGTAACTCTTCATACGAAGGACCTTTCCTCGAAACGTCGAGAAGTATTTTTTATCTTTTCATTGGATATATGTGGTTGTCGTGAATTTCAAAAATCACTCTTATTTTAAATATATATTGTTCCAATGTAGGGGAGTGTACAGCAACCCAGGGATATCACAACACCCATCTTCACCTTGCTTTGACTCGTGGATTAAAATGTCATCCTAATGATAATCCTCCGACTGTAAAGAACACACTTTTGTGTGGCAGGTAAAAGTAGCATAATCTGATAGTTGACAGTGACCAGCATTGCCATGTTTTCAGTTTGTGGAAAAATGAAATGTCGTAATTTGATTTTTGAAGCTAGCATACAGTACATGGCTAGCTAGCATACGTAGCAGGCCCTAATTGAACGGAAAAGACAAATGGAGAATGATGGCTTATACACGTGACCACATGCCGTTGAATTTTTGCACGTAGAATGTTATTCGTCTTTTCTACTTCAACCCTCCGAGGGCCTGCCAAGCAGGTTAAACCGTAGTCTGTAAAGATAAGATGGTCTGGAAGCTCAACAAACGTCGCTGAATCTACAAAATAGCAGGCCTTTATTTTATGTTGAACTGTATCTCACCGTACACAAATCCTTTGTCTCAAATTCATTAATATACAATTACTTTATGGTTTCCGTGTTTGGATCAGGCCATCCAAACACGGAAACCATAAAGTAATTGTATTATAAAATAACAACAACACGGTAGACTTCCGTGTTTGGATGGCCTGATCCAAACACGGCTTTCGACCAATCAGAATACGCGTTATATACATGTTATTTTATAAATACTATTCATCGTGGTTGCACGTTTCATCTCAACTATCCCTATTGGACGATTATCTATAATTATACGAAAATGTATAATATAATATCATCGCGACCGTGCACAAATTAACAAAAACTCAGACAAAAAGATAACACAACGACTTCTGTTTAGTTTACAGTAATTGCAGACTATCATATCTTGCCAGACTATGCCTAAATAAAGTTCAAACTAAGACAATATGTTTGACTTATTAGACGGAACGAGCGTGTGTTGAAAATGATGTTCAGGTTTTACCAAACTGATACACAGGCCATCATTCATTGATTCATTTGTCCTACAGAAGAACCCATGAGTTAATAAGATTCATGTAATGCCACAAAGTTGAACTGTAATCGTTCGATTTTCCTTGTTAGTTAAAAGGGATTAGGGAAGGAATAGTTTCTGAAAATCGGAACGCAATTCACTCATGCAAAAACGACGGTTTCAAACATTGAAAAAAATATATCATTAATTTGTTCGCGGAAACTTATTACCAAGGAAGAGAGATTTTTATGACATAAATGTTGTACGTTTCGCGTTTCAGATACCTTCGTGAGAAAAATTATGACGGGTATTATTATAACAAGTGTCAAAATTTACGACGAGATTTGCGCGAGGCATATGATGAGGCATTCAAGAAATATGATGTTCTTATCATGCCAACAATCCCTAAAAAAGCTTCACAATTTCCTTCCAAGAACCCTCCCTTATCTGGTGAGTATATACTGAGCCACCTGTATTGCAACACTAGTAACTGCGTGTTGAAGATCTAGTACAGTTTAGCTTTTTCATAACGGAAGCATTCTTAGTTTGTGATTTCATAATGCTGGACAGTTACCAAGTTTTTATCATATATAATTGTGACCTGTTTTACAAATGACCGAAACATTCTCTGACTAAATTATTTTTAGCTTGTCATTAAAAATAATGTAGTTCCTGGCCGAGCATCTATAGTTTTGCATAATTAAGATAGATCATTAAACTCGCAGTTCATGTAAAAATTATTAGAGAGCTTAACCAAGTAACCATGCAGAAGTCAATTGAGCCATTATATATAGATTGCTGCAGCCACTCTTATTTGAAACACGATAGAACATGAAAGTACAATCATTGTCAAAGCCCTTCGACTCTTCTGCTTACCCTCGCGTCTCGAGCTCCTTCAAGCAAAAACGGCTGACGCCATGATTGACGGCTAAACGTATTGTCAAGATTAAGTTGTCTAATGTACCTTTATAGGGACGTGTAAATGCATATTTCTTCTCTTTTGATTTTTAAACCTTAGAATATCTTGAGAAAGCCTTCGAAATGACCAACAACACTGCTCCATTTGATGTCTCGGGTCATCCAGTTTTGTCAATCAACGCTGGATTTTCACATGGGTTACCTGTGGGAATGATGATTGCTGGTAAAATGTTTGATGAAGTGACAGTACTGAACGTGGCGTACGCTTTTGAACAAATGCGTGACAATGTATAAAATATAGAAATCGAGTTATTATTAGCCTTGTTAACTTTTAAATGCGATATCGCGTTTAAAAATCGCATCAGGTAAAATAGATGCCATAAATCGATGGTAAAAACGAGTCGGTTATTTATGGGTGCGTAATGCGTGTAGCAAATGGTATACTAGTCCTGGCCATCTTTTCATTACCTCAATTTCATTGCATTCATTTCGTTACCGTTCACAGTGATCAATGAGTGGGCCAAGTGTTTAAATCAGAATGTCCAGACAGATGTTATCCTTCTAGATTTCTCTAAAGCTTTTGACTCAGTCCCACATCAAAGATTAATTAACGAGGCAAAATACTATGGTATACGTGACCAAACCGCTAATTGGATTAATGCATTTCTGTCAAACGCACCCAAGTCATATCTATTAACGGCACTCATTCCAATCCGGCCGGTAGATGTAGTCTCTGATCAATCCGGTGTACCTCAAGGGTCAATCTACACCTGACAAATCATTTTTCAGGGCCGGAAACGTTTAGTTTCGACGACCGTTTGTATTTTTAAAACAATTTTCTCGGTTTTAATTCATGGGCTGTTTTAGTTACCGCTATTGCATGGTGACGTACATACTTAAACGGCATATGCCATAGGCCCAGCCAGGGCCGTCCTCAGGGAATTCTTCAGGCCGGGGGGATGTAAGGTCATTTCAACTGACTGACGAACAGGGCCGCCGAGAGGTTGACGGGAGCCCGGGCGAGAATTTTTTTTTCGGAGACCAACAACCTCCCCCCCCCATGCAAATGCTTTCCAGTGACTTTACCTCAATTTTTCATACCAAAATTCGGAAATTTACCCAAAAAACCCAAATATCTTGCCCTTTGCGCGGAAATATTTAACCCAAATAGCAGTCCTACCGACTGAATAGCAGTCCTGCCGACTGAATAAAATTTCTGGGTGGTGTCACCCCCCCCCCCACACACACACACACACCCCGTATCTCCGGCCCTGGGCCCAGCGCCACTCGGGAGAAGCGGTGTTCTACAATGTATTACACTTATATTTCCATTTTATCCGGCAATAACGCAGCTAGGATTCATTTTCTCAGTTAAGCAATCTTGTATCAGGACATGTGAAGGGCCTTCGTTTCTTTGAGGGACCTTTCTGAGTAATTTAATATGAAAAACCTAAAATATACCTAAAATACGATAATAGTTGTGTTTGTTTTTGATAATCGTATTACATTAGCGATATATAAGTTCTTTTTGGGAAAATTTCTGTGCTTTGGCTTTTTTGCATTGAAAATTTGACAATTTAATATTGCACTCGTTGACATACTTCAAAAGTCGGGGCTTAACTCCAGCAACAACTTTTTTGTCAAACTTCGAGTTAAGCCCCGGGGCTTAACTCGAATAACCCAAATCGTGTTTCGTTCTTCGAGTTAAGCCCTTTTTGAAAAAGGGCGTGGTCTTGGCAAAACAGGGCGTGGTCGGGGCTTAACTCGAAAAGGGCTTAACTCGAGGGGCTTAACTCGAAGGGCTTAACTCGAAGATTCCCGACCTCGTTTCGGATATGGAGCCAGATTTAAGCGATATATGTCTCGTAGAAGTTCTTGTCCATGAAATTGATGGTCCCCAAGATTTGCGATAACATGACATGCTATCACATGTTATGACATACCATACGTTAAACCATAAAATTTTTATATTCTCTAAAAAATTATATGTCAACTACCTTAATCTATCTCATTATTATGTTTATGATCATTTCTTGAGCAGATTTATGCTTCGCACGGTTTCAAGATTGGGAGCGCTTTTTTGTATCTATTTTAGAAGAAAAGGGCCACGCGCGCAATGGGTTGTGGGATGTTGTGTATCACATGTCAAGTGTGATTTGCAAATTTTCGACTTTATTCTTTGAATATATTTCGCTATCATGGGGTTTTATCATCGTTTTATCATATTCTTACGATGGCCGAGAAGGGCCATGACTGTAAACACTCGCCGTTTTTTTACCATTACACTCGTCGTTTTTTTTCTTCAAAATTACACTCGACGTTTTTTTCAGTTATGATGCAATAATTACACGCGACGTTTTTTCAATGCAATATTACACGCGACGTTTTTTCAATGCAATATTACACGCGACGTTTTTTCAATGCAATATTACACGCGACGTTTTTTCAATGCAATAATTACACGTGACGTTTTTTCCAAAAATTACACTCGCCGTTTTTTTAGAGTTACGTTTTAAACTGAGGGTTTCACTTCGGACGAAGATGGGAGCAATCATTAAGGTTATGTGTGTTTCATCAAAACAAAAAATCATGTAAATACAGTACACATGGCCAGAAATCAAATTTGCGTATCACGTTGAAATATGGCTTCTGCAGTAAACAGTAAATTATTGATTACGCGATGCTGTAAATCCCAAAATCCAAGAATATGGTAGGTCGTTTGTAGCTTGCTTCAGTCGCTGGCTATAAATCAAGTCTGTACGTCGAAGTATTTAGCGTAATATTGCCACTTGGTTTTTAGTTAGTGACCATTCTGCATTTTCAGTTTTTGTATAGAGGTTAGTTTGTACGGAATTTGTCTATTTATACTTTAGGCCATATAAAATAAATTCCTTGATTCTCATCACCGCCCGACGATATTTTGGTTTCCGCGTTGATATATTTTTGTATTTTGTTATAAAATATAAATTTACCGCCCGGCCGAGCATCTTCAGAGATTTAGTTACTTTTATATTTTATACTGGAATTTTTGCGATATAAAATTGTTTTGTCGTTAATATATTGCAACATGTTAAGGGATGCTTGGAATACTGAAGGAAAAAATGGGCTTATAGCCTTATTACAACGATTTGTGTGGACCCTTATGCATGTTCATTAGCGCATGTGCAATTATCCACTTATATAGCGTTCTTCTATAATATATTTAAGGGCAAATATAAAAAGACCTACCTGTCCAATTTTTTAAATTTTAAACTTTTTTTTTATATTTTGACATAAAATATAAAATATAAACCTCCCGCCTCCTGGGTGTTTTTAAAATTTAGCGATGAGAATCAAGGAATTTATTTTATATGGCCTTATGCGCACTTTAGTAATTAAAGACGGTATTATTTTACAAAGGAGCAAAGCATCTGACAACCATTGGCTTCATTTGAACCATTCTCCTGTATTAATTTTATAATATGCTACGAAATTTTTAAAGAACGAACCAGGTAAAGTATTAACTTTGGAGTTTTAATGGAAATATTAATGTTTTTTATCAAACTGCGGAAATTTGAAGAAAAAAAACACCCAAATGTTTAGGCCCAGTAACCCGGGGATTTTAACAATTGAACAAGATTTTTTAGCCGGGATTTTAACAACCGTGAAATGTTAAAATCCCCGCATACGGTCCCGGGGGTCGGGGGGCCGGGCTTTCGATTGACTAGTGC